TACCGTATTCTCCACCACCGGGAAAATTACAAAGATGCTTTCCAGTAAGGAAACACCCTCAACTCTTAAAAATGCTGTCTGTGCTTCCAAAACCCCAAGCCCGTCTCCCTCCCCACCACCCCTTGCTTTACGATATAGAAAGGCATGACTAATTCCTCCCCTCCATACACTACAGCCTTGGAAACCACCACAGTATCTTGCTGTATTAGTTCTGCTGCATTTCACACATGCGAGCAAGGCAGAAAACTCCTCCTCATTTGTCCTGTGCTAACAGCCAGGCTCCCAAAGCACTGCTGCCACCCTACCTGTTGAACGTAACAAGACAACACAAAGCAGCTTTCCCCTAACTGCCCTGGAGCATCCTACCTGTGCTTCTGCATTTGGTGCCTAGTTGCACCCAGCCTGTGAAGACAGAAAATACTGCCTTCCTGACAATCCCAAGGTCCAACCCCAGTGCAAAATTCCCTGCCATTTTGAGCACCTGTGTTAACAACCTCTACACACTGCTGAGCTTCAAGGGTAAGAGTTGCTTTTTCCCCATGTATTTTAAACGCATTTCTTCATTGCAGGACAAAGATGACGATCTTGTTAAGTTGTACTGCCAAGTACCAGCCCTTTGCACGCAGCAGACAGCAGTTTATTTTTCAGGCCCTCATTACAACAGCGATGACACTCTCAGCTAGTCTCCATCCACACCCTATGAGCTATAGACTCCAGCTCTACTCCCTCAAGGCCAGCTGGCAGCCCAGTCCCACCGCTTCCCAAACACGAGAGCTATCTCGCGGCGGCGCTGCCCGTGCCAGCGGGGCCGCGGAAAGCGCGGCCAAGGGAAGGAGCCTGCCGTACCATCAAAAAAAGGAGCGGCGGTCTCTCCAGGGCCACTGGCGTGAACTGCAGTGGGCAGCTCCAGCCGGTAGCACCATAGGAAAGGCTGCCGAGTCTCCCAAGAGACCGGGACTCTGCCCGCTGCCTCCAGCGGCGCTCACCCGGCGCGCCAACGACACCTAGACGCAGCCCGTGCAATGCAGGGAGGGGCAAGCCCCGGTCGGTTCTCCTGAGCCAAATTTGAAAGGTAGGGGATCGATTACATTTCAAAACCACATTTTACATCAATAACATTTTACTACATATTTTATTACATCAATGGCTTGAAAAAATTTTATTTGATGTCAGCAAACATCGGAAATCATAGAAAAATGAATTATGTAGAATTTCACAAAGGAATTTACCCCACTATAATTCCTCATACAGTAAAATAATTCAAAACCAAATGTTACTTTTCAGTGGCTAAGCAATTTTATAATGCTATGAACATTCATCACAGTAAGTGTGCTGAATAATAGAAAACAGGCAAAAAAGACATTTAAAATATTACTTACAACAGCATTATTACAACATACTTTCTTTAAAATCCCAACGAGTATTTTATCACTTCAAAAGCTATACAGCATTTCCATTATATTTGCAAACTTAACCTTATACATCTTTTAAAATCTTGAAAAAACTTCTTTTAAGCAATCTATAAGCAGTTAACAAAATTGATAAAATCTACATAATGGAATACTATACACTCCAGTATAAATTTTATTTTAGGAGAATATGAATGTAAACACTCATTATTATACAACATGCATAGACTATACTGACCTTCCATCTTCTGAACTGTAACTTTCACTGCAATTGTGCTTTACTATCAACAGGAAAAGCTGCATTAATCCAGGGAGTGGCAGAAAGTATTTGCTTTAGGGGCATTGCACAAGATCACTAGATTTTGACTTGCTGAAGACAAGCTGGAGCTAATAAAAATAATTTTTCTTTTTTTCTTCGTAAAGAGTAAATATCAGGCCACTCATCGCTGAATGGGCTATGCATAATTTTATACAGATTTGAAAAAAACGCATTACCAGAAAAATCTCCTACGCTATTTTTGCGCTTCAATGACTCGGAGATTTATGTTCACAAATCCAGTGATCAAGTTAGTGTAATGCACTGTTTGGCTCATTTGGTGTGCAAGAATACCAACAGCATATTAGCGATTTAGAGAATAAAAACTGAAATTTAAAGTGACAATGAGCGTATTTTCATACATAATGTTTCAGATGTATTTGTACAGGAAAGAAAAATGTTTGTCAGGACATTGCTTTAAAAGAGTAAGAGTTTCACTCTCATGTTAACTATTTAAAAAGTGTTCTAGTGGATATTTATGGGGTCTTCTTGGTTGCAAACTTGTAAAAATATATTAAGAATTCATTATCCCCAGTGGTATTAAATATATCAAGACACAACCATTGTGGTTGCACTACCAGTTATGGCTACTATGGTCTTAAGCATCTGATTGTACATTGTTGCTATATTGTTAAGCACAACTGAGGCATGTATTTTTTCCCTTGGTTATAAGATTATATTACAAAAATTGATCACTGTTTCAAACCAGTTAAACACGAATATTCAAGTAACAAGGTTGTTTTAATGGATAAGCGAAAAAAGAAGTTACCTAGCACTTTACACAACTACATAAAAATTAAATAGAACAAATGAAATTTGTTTATGCATATGCAATACACTTTTATATCTTTAAGATTTCTAAAACTAAAACTTAAACTATCATTTTCTTTAACGATACCATATTTTGCACAATAACTTATACTTAGGAGAAATAATTTCCCATTTTCCACAAAATATATATAATTATGACATTCACATTGATAGTTTAAGAAACAAAATTTAAGTGAATATTCTATCTTATGCAGTTATCTTTGTGGACCCTTCTAATCAGAATGCAACCAGTTGATGTATCTAATGCTTGACCCATTTAAAAAAAGAAAAAGAGGGTCTTCACCTAAACAAGACCAAACCATTTAAACTTTCAAAAGCTAAAATGATTTTAATCGCCTTTAAAAACATAGTTAAAGAGAATGTAAAAAACTAAACGTTTAAAATACAGTGCTATTATATTGTATGTATCAACTACAATAAGATAGCAGTCAACTGAAAAGTAATTAAACAACTTTTTTCTTCCTAATACCATGAATTATACATGTTTCCCCCTACCCCTTGGGGATGAAGCCAAAATACAACTTTTCTGATCATAAGATGGACAGATTTGAGGGCAAAAAAACAATGAAAAGTCCTCACAGGTAACTTCACTCGCCAGCAGAAGCCTCTCCTGATGAGTTTCACCAGCTGGGATGCAAGCTCACACAACTCTGGCGAGGACCTGTCTCTGTGCATTGGTACCAGCAGGAGCTTTAATACTAGAGTATTTCTAATGAGCGGCATTGCTTTACGCCAGAACTGTCAGCTGAATTCACAGTGCTATTTGCCCATCTTTAATCCTAATTCACACTGGCTAACAACTAGTGTCCTTTCCCACAAGAGACTCCCAACTCCAACTGGCACAGGACTGAAGGAACATCTGCAGGGCCACCATCAGAGCTGCCAGTTCGTATCAACAGCTGTAGAGATGCTGCCACAAACTTGGGATTACAGGTTTCCAGTACAGAGGATAGGGAATAGCTCCCTTCCATCCTCGCATCACCTCAAAGGATCTCTCTGGAGCTACCAGAATGAAACTGCTCAGAAACAGCTGCAAAGTGGCTGAAACAGGCCCTTTTTGGGCTCCACCCTCTAGCTTGCCCTAAGAAACACCTATCTGCTCCTTTGCCTGCGTGTTGTTGCTCGATTTCTGATGTTGAATTACTTTCCTCACACAAGGCCCAAGGAGGAGACCACCTCCGGGGTACACGAGGCTACCTCCCCTGCCTTTCCTTGGGTTGTGTCTACACTGCAGGAGGTGCAGTCACAGCTGGCTCTGGTACCCAGCTGGCATTAGCCTACCTCGTTTAGGTACAGAGAACAGAGCCATCACAGCACACAACATGGCACAGCCCAGTAGCTCAAACATCAGCACCAAGTTCGGGGCTAGACTCTGAGCTGCAGCACCTCAGCTGCAGGCCAGGACATGGACTAGCTCATTTCAGCTTGTGTTAAGAGAGGCTGGTGCTGTACATTGCTGTGTGCCATCTTGGCTGGAACCCTCTGTAGAGGAAGAGGGGCAAAGAAGGTCCTTCTTTCCACCTGCAAAGACACCTGGTGGATTCTTCCAGCATCATTAAATTAACCATTTTTAAATGCTTTGTGACTAGTGTTATTTTGCAGCTTTCCACTGGACAAGAAGTAATACTGCTGCTTCTAGCTTCTCTGAACACTGTCTGCTCAGCAGTCAGCAACTACCTTGTTCAAGGTGCAAAGTCCGCATACAGGACTCACAAGAACAGGTCCGGTTCAAGCCAGCTAGATAGGCCACAGCACAGGTCATCCGAGCAGAGGGCTGGGGATTTGAAAGCTGCGTGCACCAAGTATTTGGAAAAGCACCTCTTAGATTTTTAAATTGCATATTTTGGTTCAGAACATGAAAGCGATGTGTGCTTCAGAAGGGTTAAAATGGCCAATGAAATTAACCCAGTTCTTCTCCATTAAACTTCTGAGAGACCAAAAACTACCTGAAGGTTGAATTTTGTGCTCCAACCCTTGTCCAGACTTCCAGTGGGAGAAGTAGTTTGATGTCTTTGGCAAACAGCGCTCTGAAGAGGAATGAGACACTGGGACAGAAAGTGACCTATGGTAGCCAAATGTAAAAAGGCACATATTCCAAAAGGAGAGGCACCAGAGAAAGTTGTTTTGACTTAATCCCACAGAGGATCAGGAAAAAGAAAGTTGTGTAGCACTCATTTAACAAGTTACAATGCAAATGCTGAATGCCAGGGGTTAAATAGCGTATCAAACAGTTTCAGGTTACGTATTCCCTTTTGCACTAAATAAAAGCCATTAAAATATACAGGAATAAAATGCTCAATTAGGGAGCTTTCTATGAAGCAAGAACACACAAATACAGTGGAAAGAATTGCACAAACCAGAAGTGTAATGAGTTACATTTACAACCTTGGACTGACCAAACCTTAGAAATAACATCTCCTATCATTTGCATTATTCAAGATTCTTGTTAACATGCCCTGTCATTTCAGAACAAACCTGACGCCACTGGCATGTGCACAGGCCTCTCCTTTATAGAAAGCTCACTAATAATAGTGTCATCGTAAGAATACACAGGAAGCGGAGACCACAAGGCCATGCAGCAATACGTACTTATACCCTATGGACCAAGTATTATAAGAACTCCTAATGTGTAGAGTTACTGTGGGGCTGCTAAGGAGCTCCTTGTTTTGCAGGTTGGTCAAAATTTACAGACAGGTGTTACTGGTTCTAGAAATCCCCATGCTTAAGCAGAACGTTGATGAAATGGAGAGCTGAGCTACCTGGGTGCTTTTGAAAGAAAGTGGAGGCAGTATGGAGGAATGAGGGGAGATTAAGGCAGATGTAGCACAGGACTGGAAGCGTTTGCCTTTTTTTGGTAATAGCTGCTTGTCCACAGATATGATGCAGATGGCTGTCTGAGGTTTGCTAATACCTGATATCCTGGATAACACAGTAGTCAACACAAATTGTTCTAGGCTACAGCACCTTCTCACGAAGCAGATGCATATCTGACATCAAGAACAGAAGTAGCCTGGAGGGAAGGGGGAGGGGGGAGAAAAAGGAGACGTTTAGTTTAAAAATGAATACACATAGGCTTTCTTGCATCTCCAAACTTCACCCCAGATCCATGGTACTGAAAGCAACAAAACGGACAACCCTGGCACGTGAGAGGAATTGCAGCAGCTTCCCCTATTCTGAGCCACACTGGGATTTGTTGGGAGTGTAAACATACAAGAATTAAGACTGGAGTTGAGGCTGCTTTATAATCAGCAGTCTCACCTCCCCCCTTCAAAAAAAAAAAAAAACCCAAAAAAAAAAAAAAAGAAACCAAAACCAGCCTTATTTCTTACCAGTGACTGACTTTGCTGCTGTATAGACTTCCGATTTCATTGTG